GCAATTCCAGTGCATTATACAGTAGAAGCCATTTTACGGAAGTACAGTAGAAGCCATTTTAAGACACAACAGGCGTAACAGAACACATACCCCAAAGGGTGTTAGGATTGTCTTACCCGCACAGTATGCTTCTAGAGAGTAAGTCATCTGTGTACCAAGTTTGGTTGAAATTGCTCGAGGCTTTCCAGAGTTATGCTGGAACATACACACATAGCCATTTTAGTTTACCTATATATATATATAGGTAAACTAAAAGAACTGAAAAACACTTCTGTACATTTCTGTCTCCTGAGATGCAAGTCCAGTTGAACTCAACAGACCTCCTAAATCAATTGGGGTTTTGACAAAGAACTGCACAGAACAAAAATACTTTATTGTAGTCTTTGAGAAGCATCACTATTATCAGTGCAAAAGTCAAAATCTGTGAAAACATACAACAAACCCGTTTGTCCTCTTCTGTCTTCCAGGTTTATCTGGGCTTTAAGCTCTTTCTCCCTTTGTCTACCATGAGAATAATGGTTGATGGGAACTGTACAAAGGTTTTCTTGCTGGGTCTTCTACCCTTTGGATCATGCTGCCGAAGAACATCTGGTGAGCTTTCTTATATCCTTTTGCTGCAGGCAAAGATAATTTTACTCAGAGTGCTTTACTTCATATTTCAAAGTTGTCAACACCTGTTCTTGTGCTTTAAAAGGTGGGACAAACTTCTTCCACACTTCATATTAGATAAACTTGATGCCTTTACATTCAGAGATAAATCTGATTTCTTCTACATTGGGTCCTCTTTCCTCTTCTATTTTGAAACAACTTTATAACAACTCAAGATAGAAGTTTGAAGATATGTGTTCTGCCTAGTTTCCCATTCATTTCTAAGACCAATGTGAGGTATCAGCTTTGAACTACAGTACTTTTATGCACTGAACCTCAGTACCAATGGAATGGAATTTATTCACGTCATCTATTTGGTTACAGAAGTAATTTTCAAAGGCCTTCTTTATGAGGTATGTCATTCTTAAGCATGGACTATTTGATAATTATTTTAGCAGTACATTCATGCTCCCTGAAGAACTGACTTGGAATTGCTTATCTTTTTATCACCAAGTTAAAATGTTTTTATTTCTCCAGAAGTTTCAAATTTGTTTGTCATTGGCTGGCTTTACCTTAAAAAATCTGTATTTTGTCTGCTTGGCTTTATAGAACTGTCTTTGTATGATGGCTTCAGATTTTCATCATGGTTTGGATTTATGAATTACAGTGTTGTGTGTTCCTGCTATATAAGTGAGTAGAGCACTTGTTTTACAGGCATCATACAAGGCCTTGCCAAAGGTAACAGACTCATATTGGAAATGCTACATAATGCAATTTTCTACAATTTTTCCTGATATCCTACTCAGAATAGTCCCCCAAATTAAATGCAATAACCATGACTTCACTCTGTTTAATGTCCTGATAGTTTTATTCAGATAATTGCAGAAAACATTTAAAACTGTTTTATGTTATTATCCAGTATGTCAAATTCCAACAGGTGTACTGTAGTAACTGATGAGTTAAAACTCATATATATCTACATTAGGTACTCAAGGATATTGTTAATATTATTTTATACATAAAGAAATACATATATGACATGAAATTGAACCTAAAACCTACATTAGTATAGATATAACATTTTTAAATGGAAATAATCTGCAAGTGAGGCACTTTCTGAGAAGTGAAAAACAAATGGCATTTACCAAAATAAAATCCAAAAATAAAAAGGAAAAACTTTATATATAGGTTACATTGCACCTCCCAATATAAAGTTCTTCCACTGAATCTTTTTCTATTCTCATAGCTAATGACAACTATTGAAATTAAGCATCTTTGGAGCAAAATGTCATTTAATGCTATTTAAGTGGCATTTAGTGGCACTAAAATGCATATGGATATTTTAACCACCCACTTGTAGTAATCACAATACTTAAGTGAAATTTGTGAATTGTAGTTTCATGTAGAATAAACATTATGCACTACTCAAATTAGTGTTAAAATTTTGTTGTGCAGAGGCAAAATATGAGTATAAAAATTTAGGAAGAACAAAATGTGAAATATCTCAATGTACACACATCTTCTGAAACTGCTACCGTAGATTATGATTCAGGAATCAAGCCCGTTAAGAATGGTTATATCCTTGCATTTTAATGGTAGATTTCTCAGAGTTCAACCTTCTCCAGATGGGTAGGATATGCGAGCATAGTCTTTGTAGGACACTGAATTAGGGAAGGATATTTGATATGTTTGTCAGTTGTTTTTACCTTATATTCCAGCTGCCAACCTTGTAGAAACATTGATTCAGATATTAAACCTTTATAATCTGGCTGTGTATAAAAATTCATCCTTGGCTTTAAAGGAGAACTAGGACAAGCTTTCTGTGATTCACTGCAAATGTTCTGAGCTACTTCTTTTTAAATGATATGAAAGAGTGTGGGGTGTTCATAGCTATTATTTGGGGACATTCTCTAAGAAAGCATTCAGGCTTCCTAGTTTCTTCCCAAACTCTTCTCCATCAACATAGATCTGATTTTTGGTGAAATGGGAATAAGGTTGATTAAAGAATATATTTAATCTTAGAGAACTTTTCCAGAGAAAAAGAATCTTAACTTTTAAAAGTTAGTCTATAACTATTTTTCTTGAAGCTCATGGATTTTGCGTGAAAACATTACAACTTTATTACTACTTGACAAATCTGCGATTATCAGTTTATTACCCTTTCAAAAATGACATTTATAGTACATTGAATTAAAAAGAAATTGCAAATGCTAAATAGGAAGAATTGACCTCCACTGTAGAGCCAAATCCCAGAAAATATATTCTATACACATGGTCTAGTTTGTGAGTGGGTACATCACATTATATTCTTTTAGACTTGTCTATTTCATTTCTCTAGCATCCCCAAAGCCTTCCAAGTAAACCAGCTGGATGTTGCAAGCAAACTGTATGACTCATAAAGCTACTGTTTCGCTCCCTCCCACCCTCTTACAGTTTCTTTCTTTCAATATCCTAATTTAGCAGGAAGGGAGAGTTTTGTCACGATTGTTGAATTAACAGAATAACAAGAGTTGGAAGGCACCTTGGAAGTCTTTTAGTCCAACACCCCACCCCCTCCCTTTAGGCAGGAAACCCTACACCATTTCAGACAAATGGTTATCCACCATCTTCTTAAAAACTTCCAGTGTTGGAGCATCCACAACTTCTGGAGGCAAGTTGTTCCACTGATTAATTGTTCTAACTGTCAAGAAATTTCTCCTTAGTTCTAGGTTGCTTCTCTTCTTGATTAGTTTCCACCCATTGCTTCTTGTCCTGCTCTTAAGTGCTTTGGAGAATATCTTGACTACCTCTTGTTTGTGGCAGCTCCGGAGAAATTGGAACACGGCTATCATGCCTCCCCTAGTCCTTCTTTTCATTTTTTGAAACCAGAAATTTTTGTTGACCTGCTGCATATTACCCCCATATTTATGAGCAGATCCTGATATACTTTTGCCTACTTGGTGGAAGATTTTACTAAATTAATGCTTAAAGGGCTGTATGACTCGTCATAATTTCTAAATCATGTCTGTCCAGCAGGTGGTGCCCGAGTAACAGAGCTATTTTCATGTAGGATAACCTAGGAAGAACTTTCCCAAGCTTAAAAATATCATTCAGAGATTTAGCAAAACAGGCAACTTTATCTATTAGAAAGTATCTGAATTGCTGTTTCATAAAATACAGCTTTTCATTGTACTTTTCTGGACAAAGCAGGATGAAAATAAAAAACAGGAACAAGAAATGCATCCAACATACGGATAAACATCCACTGAAAATGCATGATTAAACACTATTAAATAAACTCATTAAATAATAGGAGACAGTCAGTAGATTATTAAGTTAAAATCTAATGGTTATTCTAAGAAGGGACTTTGCTTTAATCCTACATTAAATTCCAAATATCTCCATTTAAAAATCGTAGTGGTGAACCTAAAATCCCATAGTATTGTGTTTGTATTTCAGGGCCTTCCCCAAAAAGGAACATAAATGTATTCAATAAAGGATAATACATGTTTACCAGCGAAATGTTTAAATACACACTGACATGAACGGAGGCGAATATACATGTCCCAGGATAATGTCCTCTGGTGCCAGTGACCAAGCCAGATTGAATTCTGCAACACACTGAAATGCACATATTCAGAAAGAGGATTAAAGCATACAGAATTCCATGTGAAAAACATTACAGGATCCGATGTATTATATTGATTAGTGCTCATCAGACAGACTCGCTGTATCTTAAAATATCTAAATAGGTATGTGTGCAAATATACATGCAGAGGTCCAAAGCACTTTCTTGGTCAGCCAGCAAGTACCTTTTTATGGCTATTTGTTGTTATGCCCCACTTTCATAAAAAAAACAAAAACCCAGAATGTTTTAATCATTGCTATTCACAATTCATGCAGTTCTCATGCCATTAATGAGATAAAAATTAGAGATTTTTTTTTTCTCTCCCCCTTTTTCTCTGTTTGGGGAAAAATGAACATTCTGCCTAGGCAACCAAGTTAGCTGACTAAATGACTACACGAAGCATGAAAGACATCCTATGCAGCAGTTTTTAAAGATATAAAATGCAGGAAAGGCAACTGCTGCTAAAGAATCACGTTTGCTGACTTCGGTTATTTATTCTAGATAAAAGTACAAAACTAGAAAGAAGCTCTTAACTTCAATACTTATCAATATATTTCCTCTTCTTTTCAATGTGAAATAATACTTCAAGATGATGTACGTACATAATGTCTGTTCAAGCTGTTGTATAAAATATAAATGCCCCTTTTAAAAGATATTTTACAAACAGTGTTATGTACAATTGTTTGGTTTTGAATGTCTGGGCTCTGGGAAATGTAGGTTGTATAGTGGAGGTGGAACTGTATGATGGAACATGATCCAAAGAAAACAAAATCAATATGTATATTTTTCTGAAGAAAGACAGATATTAAAAATTGTGAAATTTTAATTTTAATCCAAAAACATATTAAAGACATATTTTACTTCCTTCTCCACACCCTTTAACCTTTTTGAATGAACGACTGCTCCACTGCTTTAAACTTTTATTAATAAAAATCCTCTATGCTTAATTATGTTATTATGCCATATGATAGATAACATTTAGGAATTACCAGAAATGGCATTTAGAACACACAGCCAAATGTTAAGTTAAATATATTCATTAATACAACTCAAAGACAAAATAAAATCCATTTTCATTCAACAAGAAATTAACTTGTTTTTTCCTACCTGGACTACAGTTTGTCATACAGCATAAGTTTAACTTGTGGTAGGTCAAATAAAAGTAAAATAATGGAAACATATAAAGAAATAACTGGCACCGAGTTGAAATAAAGTTATAAGCATATATTTTAAACAATTTCGAAGTGGTAATTTTCTCTTCCCAAACATCTGTCATCAAAATTTTTAGGAGGAAATCCTAAAAGAAAATTTGCTGGCTGCGAGAAAGGGAGGGGTAAAATCTTGCCATTACATTGAAATTAGAGTTATTTATATATAAAAATAAATGTTATGTTCTCATAAGAGCATTAGACAATTATATCTGTGCTTAACAAAACATTGGTCATTCAAGACTACAATAATTAATATTTAAAGGCTTTCAGATTACCAGAATGTACAGAAGAAAATTAATACAAAAATGTAGTTGAAGGGAAATAAGACTGAAAATATTGATTTCTCTATTTGAATAAAAATACTAAGTATTTAAAACTGATAAATACTATCACGGAATGTGCCTGGAAAACAAGGTCCATAACTGCTGAACTGGAAAGTGGAAGAAAGATTTAACAATTTGTACCGTATATTTTGTTAAATATAAACATTTGTTATTTGTACATAAAACTGTTTCCCAAAACTATTTATAAGTAATTTAGTTGCACTTAAAATCAATTTAATTTTTCATATCTGCCAAGACATTAACTTCCTTTAGTTTTCAATCAGCTTTCCCTAGTGCAGGTGTAATTAAGTTTTCTGCCAAATTGATTATTTCAAAGAGTGTTCCCCCCCATCACCTATAGCACAAAATGTACAGAGTGCTGAAGTATGGAGTTTATACTTCTTTCAAAGACCAATCGGAAGGAAAGGCTTTCAGGTTGCAAGAACTCCTTCACCACTTGTCTATGCACTTAAAAAGTAGATTAGGCATGGCTTGCATTGGTCAAATGCCACAGTTCTGACATCTCTTCCACAAGAGGCCTTTCCTATAGGGTGGGTTTTCCCTTCTGCATGCCAAGTGCTTCCATGAATTGGATACTTCCCAGCAACAAAGACTTGTCAGCCCATTTTTGCACTGGGCTTCTTCAACTTGCAGCTTTATGTTTTCCTCCACAGCATCCACAGATTTCGCCACAGTGGTGGCACGCTCTTAGCGGGAGGTAGCAGCACATACATGGCGCAATGAACGACAGAGTGACGAGGGCGAGCCATCGTAGGCAAAACTTGTCGTCACTCGTGTCGCAGGAGCAAGGGTCAGAGAAGTCCCCTTCGGAGTCTGACATGCAGTGGTAGAGCATGCTCTCGGCACAAAGCATGCAGCTAACTTGGTATATGCATCTTCTAATCGGGTCTGGAGCATCTTGGCATTTGCCTCGGCCATTCTCTTCACGGTTAAACCTCTCTTGACAGTATATGCATCGAGAGCGCTCACCATCCTCTTTCCTTTTTTTAGATTTTTTCAATTTGATAGAAGAAGGCTGTGTTTTGAGTACCACAGAACTCTTAGAATCTTTTAGGGAATTCAGTTTAGGCCCATCTCCGGATGGGTAGAGATAGTCCGATTTTTTATGGTCTGCTTTAGGGCAGTGCAGCGAGGAATCTATTTCATCCCTATCCAAGTCATTTTTCCACATATCAGGATGCCGATAGTCTGCATAGCGACGGATTAGAATATCACGAGGGTTTATCCGAACAATTTCTTCTTCGTCCTGAAAAGTGACACTCCTGACTGGCTTCTGGGGTATCTACAAAAAAGAAGACACAGAAGGGAAAAAAGGGCCCTTTAATATTACACATAACCATACTGATGACAGAGCGTGTTACTTCAAACAAGCAAAGTATTAAGTCATAACACCTTATGTCTAAAGAGAATCATTTTTCTTACACAGCGCAATTTACTGAACGTATCTGCCATATTTAATGGGTTTTTTTCAACAGTCAAAATAACCAAGCACTGCAGTGCTGATAATCGTTACATTATTAAGTTCACATTCTCTCTCACACAGAACATTTTGAAGTAAAGGACATGTTGAAATATTACAAATTAACAAGAAGGTGATTATTCCAAAGCACAATGTTTTTTAATGAACTTCGTATTCACAACGTCATATCAATCCCTTGAAGGCATCTAAAAATTAGACTGGGATCACATCAAGCTGTGGATGATATGCAGTTCTAACATTATTTTAAAGTGAAGGAGATGGTGGAACTCCCACAGTGAATATCTGGAAATAGGAATCTAAGAAAGAAGGGTGAATAATCTGAAGCTTAATCAAGCCAGGATCTCTGCAGATAGTAATTTACATTTATACCTGATGAATTTGCATTTCCTTTGAAAGCCCAAATATGCAACTGACAAGTGTTCCTAGATTTGGCTCTTTTTGTTGGAAGAGGAAGCATCATCAATGCCATTTATCAGCTTGGACTCCTTGCCATATGTAGTCTTATTTAATGAACTTAATTGCACTGGTGCACAAATTCTGGTTACATCCCAGATGAATTACAGTAATGCACTGTATATGAGGCTATCCTTTAAAAAAGTGCATAAATTTCAACCTTGTCTGTGTTTGTGTGTACGTATTTCTGTTGTAGTTATATAGACAACTGATTCATATCTGCAGCCAATCCATCATATTGGTATTGAAAATCTGAAAGTAAACTTATATACAACACCCAAGATTTCCAATCCATCTGTGAAAGTCATCAAGTTGAGTATTGAGCACATAGCAATTGTTAATGTGATAATCCTGGAATGACCTTCTACTCCCCCCACCCCCCATGGTTTCTTGCTTGCTTCTTAAATACGGCTCTGCATTCTAATTATTTTATTATTATATTCAATAATTATTTTATCTACCGTTTTGAGGATATTAACTGCTTTTTCTGCTATATTCTTTTGAACAGGAAAACTGTTCAATAAATAACGGTAAACAAAATGTAATTAGAGAAAAAATGCAATTTCAGTAACTGTGTGTACACAGAACATTTATTTATTTAAGAAAATTTATGTAGCTGCCCATATAAACTCTCAATGAACTTATGAAGATAAAACATCTATCATAAAAAATAATAAAAAGCAATCCCTCCCTCCCGCTGGCAACAACAGTCAGTCAATTAACAGACAAATTAAATGTACATATCATCAGCAGAATTTGATAATAATAAAGACAGAATTTTGTGTGAGTGGAAGCTGCATATTGGTATTTCCTCCCTCCATCCCCAGTTGGTTGTGTGCATGCTTAATATCTGACGGATAAAAACTGTCAGTAAAAAAAATTCAGTAAAAGAAACCATCTAATTTTGAAGCATGAAAACCTCTCAAACATGGGTGGATTCAGAAGGCTCACCTCCCCACCCCCCAGTTTGATCTCTGCCTAAATTTGTAGCAAACATCCACTGCTAAATTAGGAAGGTTGAAAGAATTTGGTCTTAAGTGATTCCCGTTGAGCTAGGCCTAGAACTTTAATCATGTTGCAGAGGTTAAGGTTAGTACAGGTGCAGAAGTAAAAGTAACCTTGGAGCTCAGGCCTGAATTATTTCAAAATGCTTTTAGAAGGAAAAAAAAATCCCTTGATTACTTGAAGTACTTGCTTAATAAATACATTAACACTTGTGGTAGGAACTTCAGCCAGGACCAAAGAAGTTGTTCACTTTGCTGGCATCTAATGGAAATCCACAAAACCGAAACAGAAATAACTTTTCCATAGCCTTCTACAGTATTGGCTGGTGATGACAGAAGCATCGTTCACTAAGTAAAGTTTGCTATAACGTTTTAGTTTATAAGCAAAGATTAAAAAGCAAATAGCCGTCTCCCATCCCTGCCAAAGGCAAAGACAAGACACTCCATTATAGGGCAGAGCAACCTTATGTTGGAATATTTGAGATTCACTATGACTTACTTGGCTCAAACTAATGAAAAATACTCTTGCCAAATGGTTCAAACTCGCTACATAATGAGCAAGCTAAATATGGAATTCTTTGGAATCTAATTCAAGTTCCATTCTGAATTAAAAGCAGAGCATGCAAATCAAGAGTTTATTTTTTACAGATAGTTCTGAATTTTAATTACAGAGTAGTTCAGTCATTACTATGGAAAATCAGTGTGCATGGTACCAAAAGGATTGTTTGATTCATGGATAGAAACTGGCTTACACTGCTGTTCACAATCATATAGCCAGCATAAGTTTGGGCAAGCACAATAGGTATTTGTTCAAATATTTATGGAAGTATGATCTTCACCCAAGAACATAGCTTGCCTAGATTTGAAAGAAAATCAATAAGAAAAAAATAATGTGTGAGATACTTCCACCATGATTCAACACAAGCAGATGCAAAAGAAATAAAACACAGCACCACTATAGAAATATATACTGTACTTATCTTTAAAGACTTATTTCATCAAGTCTTAAAATTAAGCATTTCAGTTCTCTCAGCCTAAAATCAAAATTTCCATAAACATCATGAATTTCATGGCTTGTTAGTAACTCTAAATGATTGCTGATCATGATATTGATGAGATGACAGGCTAGTTCACTGTAAGATAAAGGTAAATATGAAGATTTCCTCTTTCCAGTCAAGTCCGACTCTAGGGGGCAGTGCTCATCTCCATTTTTTAGCTGAGGTAGCCAATATTGCCTGAAGACACTTCCATAATCACATGGCCAGCATGATTTACATGCCGAGGTACACAAAAGTGTTACCTTCCCACCAAAGTGGTACCTAAATATCTACTCACATTTGCATGCCGTCTAATTGTTTAGGTGGAGAGGAGCTGGGGCAAATAAAGGGAGCTCTCCCTGTCATTTCATGAACTGGGTTGTCCGCTTTCCAGCTAACAAGCTCAGCGTCTTTAACCACTGAGCCATTGCACCCCCACAGCTGAGGGGGGAAAAAAGGTGAGGGAAAAAACAATGGTTATCTGTCATAGAATGTGGGTAGAGGAATCTCCAATGTATCAATGAATTATGCAAACCAGAGAAGTGAATTCAAAGCCCCTGCTTCTGTTGTTAAACAAGCAACAGTTACTCATTATGACCAAATCAAAGCAAGAATTATGATTTGTTTGAAAGCAGAAACTTCCAGTCTCTTTTGTGACATTTCACATCATTGCAGGGAATCCTGTTCCATTATGTCTGAACTGGAGCAGTGATATTGCTAGGCAAAATTCTGGTAGCACTTCAGAGGTATCTTTTGACATATTCAATATACAAGTTGTTTTTCATGGATTACCTGGTTTGGCTGGTTGTGGAAGTACAATCTCCTGTTGTTCAAATCTTCAAAGACCGAAGGTCTTATACATAAGGTTTTGTGAGGATCATTGCTTGCTAGAGAGTCATGTTGGAAAATTGGATCTTTCATTAGCAAACTTGATGTATTTTCTGGAATTGCCTGGAAAAGATTATATATTAAAATACATAGGGTTGTTTTTTTTCTCTTTCTTTTATCTATATAAATTAAATCCACTTCAATGTTGTTTAGAACTTCAGTTAGTAAATTGCATATGACATTCAAAGTACCCATTTCACACATAATTAAAATGCACCATACATACTATTTTAAATAAATGGAGGTAGCATTATAGCATCAAAATAAAAATAATAATGAATACACTGGAAATCCTTTGTCACCCAAAGCAATGAAAGAGGAAGTGAAAGAAGAAGTGAAAGAGGAAGTGAAAGAAGAAGACAGATTAATTTGAGGAGATCACTCCTTAAAGGTACTTGCTCAGTGCTTTATCAGAGGTGCAAGAAAGGAAGCAACCATTAAGAGCTACATATATCAAAGCCACGCAATATGGGTAGAAGGCCATATAATTGTTCTTATATTTGCCACATAGAAAACTGCGCTAGAACTGAATGAGTATTAATCATTTTCCCAAGCCCTGATTAGCATTATGACTGCTTTGCTTGATAATCAAGGATATCAATCAAGAATTCCCCTTGTTCAAGTAGCCAGTAATGGAGTAGAATGATGTAGTTAAAAAGTCTCAATCCTGTAGATCAGAGAGTAGAGATCTAGATATTACTATAAATAGAAGAAACATATCCATTATAACTACTTTAACTCAGACAAATGCCTTGATCATGTCTTAATATATAAGACATCACCTGACAAAGTCCATCTTAAAAGAATATTGTATACTTGCCAGCACTTCCACATTTTCAGTTATTATAATAATCTGGGAATGTATTTATTGTTTGGCCAATAGGCTTCAAAACAATATGGCCTATCTATGTTCTGAGAAAACTCTATTAATTCAATAGAAGCTAAAACTTTGATCAATTTACAGTTGTCCAACATCCATATTACAGAACTGAACCCAACCTTTTCAGTAAAAATGTTAAATGTAATTTAAGGTAAAAAGCCAGTTCAAATCAACTCTTGAACATCACAGAGCATAAAATGTTTTTTTAAAAAATAAAAGGGGGGAAAAATCACACAGATCATGGATCATGGATATCTTATTTTGTCAGATGAAAAGCAGAGGAACATAGTTTCCAATTAATGCTTTACAAAAAGAAAGAAAGAAAAGCTCATTCATTTAAAATGGGAGAGGGAGCAGTTTTCTCACTTTCCCCTCAAAATTTACCCCAAAATGCAAGTGAACTTTCAGAATAGATTTTGAGGATGCCAGAATTTCGAGAAAAAAATAGGCAAAGAAAGTTCCATTCAGAAAACAGAAGTCTTGTGATAGGCCATGAACTCAATTTTTCCAAGGAAAATGTCAATAACTGCTACCAACCTAAGAGACCAAGAAACATAAAAAAGGGTTTCTAGATGCCATAGGTAGGAAAAGTGCCAAGTTTAATACCAAGACCCTGTAAGCCTTAATCACCAAAAACCAAATTATTTGAAAAAGCTTTAGACATAGCCTGAAGATTCTTCACTAGATGTATGATGAATTTCTGAGACACTTCAGACAAACTCTTTGTCTATTCAGGAATACATGGGTACCAAGTCTACATTTTATAATAGAGCTAGTGATATGAAAGTCACCTGTTTCATCAATTATCAAAATGTCTTTATAGCAATGTTCATGCTGTTAACAGAGAAGTTAGCCACATAAATTATCTATCAATTCCACCATGAGACGGGCTATTTTGTAGAGCTGCGCAATCCATTTGGAGGTGCATTGATCAAAGCTGTACAGGAACCTTTTCCCTATGCTCTGAGTGTGTGTATGCCCAAAGGACACTTCAATTGAAATTGCCACTGAAGTAAAGCTGTGCAGAACTGAAAAATAGCTGCCGTCAGGAAATAAATATTCAAGGTGGGGAATGCTGCTCCATCTGTATGAAAATGATTTTTTCCACAAGTTCTGTTCTCCCAGAATGCAGCTGTTGAAGGCTACTCTATCAGAGCCATTAAGATCAAGTAATTGGCATAGACAAAGGCAGACCGCTTTCTATCAAAATGCAATTGCTTTAATAAAAAAAAAATCCTTCAAGGTCAAAACGTTGATTAAAAATTCAATACAAGTGAGGCTAAGACACAGTCCTATTTGTGATATTGTCCCATTGAAGGAAATCTATCTGCATTTAGGATCTTATTACTATAGGCAGTAGTTGTGCTCAATTCAGCAGCATACATAGACATTACTCTACTTACAATCTTTTGATGATACAAACAAACCTGTCTGCAACTCCAACCTAAAAGGTCCTGGATTGTTAGTTTACAGGATGCCACACAGGCATGTTTGTTTGGACTTGCAAACAAAATGGACTTACAAGCAGCCTCCTGAATGTAGCAATAGCACTTAAGACATTATACCACTTCACAGTGCTTTACAGCCCTCTATAGATGGTGTACAGAGTCAGCATATTGTCCCTAACAATCGGGATCCTCATTTTACCCACCTCGGAAGGATAGAAGGCTGAGTCAACCTTGAGTCTGGTGAGAGTCAAACTGCCAAATTGCAGGCAGCTGGCAGTCAGCAGAATTAGCTGCAGTACTACATTCTAACCACTGCACCATCCCGGCTGTCTGCACATTAAATTGGACAGATCCAGTTTATAAACATTGGCCATTCCTGAGAATGCGCAATATAATTACCCTGCACTGTGACAACATATTGATCTATATGGTTTTAAGCATCAGGAACAGCTACAGTAATGTAAAGCAATTTATTTACTCTCCATTTTAGACTACTATGAATTTACATGGGTTCATTCCTAAAAAAAAAAAAAAAGTTAATAAAACAGTAATAGAACAAAAAATTAATCAGGAAACATAATTCCAACAAGACGCCCAACACAAGTTGTTATTATAGTAAAAACGAAGCCAAAACAAACATTTTTATAGTAAAATTACAAAAAAAAGTCACTGTATTAATGTTCATTATTGTCTCTATCTCACTGTACACAAACAGATATACAAATGTCTGATTCTTTTCTACTTGCAAAACAATTACACACCTATATTCAATATCTTCAACTGCAGCACTGGTATAAACTATCCATTATCACCTGTAAAGGAAGTTATACCAATTTTTAATGCATAGTGTAAACCTGGTTTGCTCTCAGCTGCTGGCATAAAAATTACTGTTCTATGGTTGCTAAGACATACTTTGACTTTTTTCCAAGGCTATTAAAACATTTCTGTGTGCACAAGCAAAAGGATGCTGGATAAAGGAGTAATAAAATGATTCCAGCTGTAGCAGTCCAGCAGAACTCAAAGCTGGAAGACAGCTGCAGATAAAATAAAAAACAGATTGGGATTTGCTCTTCTTCAAACCTCCTCTCCATACTTTTCCCAGGATGAAGTTCCGAGGAGAGAACATTGTGCTCTCCTGCAAATCATGTTAAGAAAGTAATTTAAGAAGTGAAATGAAAATAAGGGATACCAGCGCTGCACTTGTTTACCTTTTACAGGATTTTCCACATTTCCCAAAAGCATTTTATTCATCAGCCCCCTTTTCTTTAGAATACATTTTAAAAAGATTAAGAACATGAACATCAAATTTGAAATCATCCCCGCTTTGTGATTTCACAGACAGCAGCAATTGCTTTCAATACCAACAACGGATTCTCTTCAATTAGTTGCATTCTTCTTGCCCATCTTCCTGAATAGCTTCAGAAGCAGTCTATGATCTATGAAATATTTTATGTAGCCATTTAAAACAGAATGTTTCCCACATAAAGCATCTGCTAAAAGCACGAGGGAACCATCGATAACAGCAGTTTCTGTTTTTCAGGATCCAAGTGCATGCACATTATCAAAGCTGCCACCTTTTGTCTACTTTATTTCACTGGACTTCTTTCACAATGTGGGTTTACTGTCATGTAAGCAGGGGTGGGCTGCTCCAGGTTCGGCCGGGTGAAGATTTTGCATGGTTCAGCAAACCCCAAAAATCCCACTCCTATCTGGCCCCACCCATCCCACTACTCCTAGGAGTCTCCACGCAGCCCATTTTGGATGCCAGGTAAGTGCAGGGCCCCTACAGAGGCCTGAGGAGAGCAAAAAATGGGCTTCCTCGAGGCTCTGGAAGCCTAGAAATGTGCCTCTTTCCGGCCTCCAGGGAGCCTCCAGAGCTTGGGGGAGGCTGTTTTCACCCTCCCGGAGGCTCGAAAAAAGCCTTTGGAGCCCAGGGAGGGTGAAAAATGTGCCTCCTGGAAGTTCTTCTGGAGCCTGGGGAGGGCAAAAACACTCCCCCACTGTGATGCAGGAGGCCAACTACACCACGCCAGTGGTGGGTTGCAGGCAGTACGCCCCAGTATGGGCGTACCGGAGCCTGCACGGAGCACCAGGTACCACCTGCCCGAGCTCCTTACCTGTCCTTTAAAGCCTTTGGCACCTCCGCGCACATCACCTGCGTGACACTCCACTGAGCAGCTGGAGCGTCGCAAGGTTTGCAGAGGTGTTGCTGGCAGGTATGATGCATGCGCGCGCTGCGCACATCCATGTGGATGCCACTGAGCCCGTTCCAACCATACCGGTTGGAATGGGATCCAGAACCCACCATTGGACCATGCCCACCAAGCAACCAGACAGAGAACCCATTGCTAAAATTTTCGAAGCCCACCCTGCATGTAAGGATATTCAGAATCATGGCCTAAGGTCTCTGTTGCTGATCAAATCAGTGAGAATCTCTTTACAAACAAGGCCAATTCTATTTTTATGCAATAAGTTACCTCTCAATCAAACAGCAATACTGTAAGAGAGCACTCACTTCAGATGCTTAAGAAGATTAAGCCAATTCCTTAGGAGTACAAGCAGAGTATGATGTCTTGCTGTTTTCTGGCATACTCAGAAAGAAAGCTGAAAATAGAAATTCTCCTGTCCCAACCACTAAAAGCCACACATGAAAACAGCCTTTATTTCACAACAGCTGGCCAGCATTTTATGATAGGATTCATAAGTAACTCCCTTATCCAGATGTTCAGAGAACA